AAATATGAGTGAAGGATGTAGTTAGATGGATAGAACTATTTATTAAAAATTAAATTATCAAGGACTGCTTGGTCCAAATTCGAACCAACAAATGTTGGTTGACTTTCCTCAGGAAGGAAACGGTAATGTTTTTTGCCAGGCCAGCACAATTACTATTCAGACCAAACTAAAACCAAATTAAAACGATTTTAGTAAATAACAAAAGATATTTATAACCTATTGCTTGTCCTATGTATTATATCCAAATCGCAAAGTCCTCATCAACTGTAAAATTTGTTCAAAACCTTGACCGTAAAGACCATACGCAAAGTGTATGGTCACGAGAACGTGATTCCTTTTTAGTTGCGTCATAATCACACCTGGATAATATACACATGGGTTGCTTATCGTGACGTGCCGTTGACTGACCTTTCAAATCAAAGGCATACAATTTAACGAAATAAAATATTTGCTTGGCACGGAAGCATTTAAAGACCGGAAGGGATGTATGTTGCATATTGTTCCAACGAATCTATTTGCATACCTAATGGGACATGCTCATGGTTAAATTCGCAATGAAAAAACAGGCTTAGGTCTTATCTAATAAAAACTTAATTTTTTAAATGTTGGCAGACTCTTGCTGGAAAGACTTTATTAAGTTAATCGTCACGTCTATGTGAAAAGATCAGCTTTCCATCCGAATTCAGTGGTTAGCAAAGCTCACTTTGCATTCTGTCTTGAAGTGGGTTACTAATTCCAAAGTACAGTTGTGCTTTGGTCAGATACACATGAATCCCCCAGGACGACTGGAGCACTGGACTGACGAGTGAAGGTTTGCAACGTATTGTAGCGCTATGTTACCGTTATCGAGGTTACTGACCGTGTTGTATAACCGGTTGTCGCTCTGGGCTAATGTTATGCTGCGTCGCCGATGCTGACGAGCACAAACGTCCTTCAGCCTCAAGCCAGGTGACTCGGGCCTACACAACAGAGGCTTCACAGAACTGACAATCAGTGAGCATGAAACAGATGAAATGCTACGCTACGTCAATAGCGCTGACGAGCACTAACGTACTTCAACCTCAAGTTAAGTGGCTCGGGCCTACTCAACAGTCAGCCTTTGCAGAACTGACAATCGGTGAGCATGAAACAGATGAAATGCTACGCTATGTCACTAGCGCTGACGAGAAACGTACTTCAGCCTCAAGTCAAGTGACTCGGGCCTATACAACGGTCAGCCTTTGCAGAACTGACAATCGGTGAGCATGAAACAGATGAAATGCTACGCTACGTCACTAGCGCTGACGAGAAACGTACTTCAGCCTCAAGTCAAGTGACTCGGGCCTATACAACGGTCAGCCTTTGCAGAACTGACAATCGGTGAGCATGAAACAGATGAAATGCTACGCTACGTCACTAGCGCTGACGAGAAACGTACTTCAGCCACAAGCCAGGTGACTCGGGCCTATACAACAGAGGCTTCACAGAACTGACAATCAGTGAGCATGAAACAGATGAAATGCTACGCTATGTCACTAGCGCTGACGAGAAACGTACTTCAGCCTCAAGTCAAGTGACTCGGGCCTATACAACGGTCAGCCTTTGCAGAACTGACAATCGGTGAGCATGAAACAGATGAAATGCTACGCTACGTCACTAGCGCTGACGAGAAACGTACTTCAGCCTCAAGTCAAGTGACTCGGGCCTATACAACGGTCAGCCTTTGCAGAACTGACAATCGGTGAGCATGAAACAGATGAAATGCTACGCTACGTCACTAGCGCTGACGAGAAACGTACTTCAGCCACAAGCCAGGTGACTCGGGCCTATACAACAGAGGCTTCACAGAACTGACAATCAGTGAGCATGAAACAGATGAAATGCTACGCTATGTCACTAGCGCTGACGAGAAACGTACTTCAGCCTCAAGTCAAGTGACTCGGGCCTATACAACGGTCAGCCTTTGCAGAACTGACAATCGGTGAGCATGAAACAGATGAAATGCTACGCTACGTCACTAGCGCTGACGAGAAACGTACTTCAGCCTCAAGCCAGGTGACTCGGGCCTACACAACAGAGGCTTCACAGAACTGACAATCAGTGAGCATGAAACAGATGAAATGCTACGCTATGTCACTAGCGCTGACGAGAAACGTACTTCAGCCTCAAGTCAGGTGACTCGGGCCTATACAACGGTCAGCCTTTGCAGAACTGACAATCGGTGAGCATGAAACAGATGAAATGCTACGCTATGTCACTAGCGCTGACGAGAAACGTACTTCAGCCTCAAGTCAAGTGACTCGGGCCTATACAACGGTCAGCCTTTGCAGAACTGACAATCGGTGAGCATGAAACAGATGAAATGCTACGCTACGTTACTAGTGCTGACGAGAAACGTACTTCAACCTCAAGTCAGGTGACTCGGGCCTATACAACGGTCAGCCTTTGCAGAACTGACAATCGGTGAGCATGAAACAGATGAAATGCTACGCTACGTCACTAGCGCTGACGAGAAACGTACTTCAGCCACAAGCCAGGTGACTCGGGCCTATACAACTGTCAGCCTTTGCAGAACTGACAATCAGTGAGTATGAATCAGATGAAATGCTACGCTACGTCAATAGCGCTGACGACCAACGTACATCAACCTCAAGCCAGAGCAATATACATCATAGACATGAATAACAGACACCCATTGCAGAACTAGCTATCAGCAAGATCGATCTGATACGCTTCGTCACCAGTGCCATCTCGTGCTGACGAGAACAAAGACAGGCGACTAGTGAGTAGCGCTCGTAACAGTCAACCTTCACAGAATTTACCTGATGACGCGCGCGAGGCAGAAAAACCGCGAGGTGGACATTCCAAGAATTCCAGTGAGGCTGGAGGCTGGAGTTGCTCTACGGTGATGAAGCTAGAGCTGTTTATACATATAACCAGAACATTTCTCAAGCGGGAGAAATGTATGTTGAGAGGGGTTGTTTCATGGAGGTGGGTCTCCAACTGTTACTGTTCTCCTCACACAAGAGGCATCTCCTATTTTTATTGATTGCTAGATCTATAGTTATAGCTACGTAGAGGTGGTACCAAACCACCAGGAGACAAAATTGAAACGGGAATACTACAACTATGCTAGTTGTTTTACTGTTAATTTACGCTATTCATGTAAACACACGATTTCTACCTAAGCAACCCTCTTTTAGTTGATTTTAGGCAAGGAAAATCAATTTTGAATCAGAAATCCATAAAAGAGGATTTGGGTTAACAATTCGGATAGTTCACTTGGGTAAATGCCACAAATCAATTTGCACACTGACCTACAAAACTAATAGTAATCGAATGCCCTAATGCATTGCAAATCTTGCACACTATTTACCTTAAAAAAATAAAAATAACTAGTCTCACGTTTTTATCAGAAGTAATAACATCAGGATTTTTTTCAAGGCGTTGAACACAGCGTTGAACAGGCAAAGGAGAGGAGCTTGTGCAAAAATATAGATATGAGAATATGCAATTTCATTACTCACGATACAGTCCCATAAAAGCTATATTTTTTTAGAATTTTAAACATATAATCAGGTCTTGATGAACTAGTTGTGGTAATTTAGTTTGATAGCTATAACGTCAAGAAGGACGTAATAATCGTAAGAATTATTTTGGTGTACTATTTAATTCAGCACCATTGTTTCATTGCGTTATTCATCGTTTAGTTATACCGTACATTTACAATGATATGCATACTGAACAGTTAATAAAGTCACACCATTGTACAGAGCGAGATAACATTTAGAATAGCAAGATGAAGTGCGAATGTGTTCGTAGTAAAGTAGCTCTTAGGGATAGTGCAAATCTTTTTTAGAATTGTATAAAATACCAAAGATTAATAGTTCGAACTTTGAAGAATCTGTAATCTTCTTTTGAAAAAAAATCAGATACGAAATCACTAAGCATATAAGCAAGGCACTCTACTATCCATTTGGTGTTTAACTAGTTTTTTATATAGTATATCTTCTTAGTTAGCCAACGAATAGAGGTAATTCAAATTGTAAAATTAACCTTCAATGCAACATTCTTGAGTTAATTTATCTTGACATGATCTACAAAAAAACAGTAAGAACTCCAAGCCATTTAGGATCACCTTTCCTCATACAGTGAAAACTATCAAGAGCCATAGTAGGATAATCATTGACTTAGTAATTCATAGTCTGATATTCCATTCAAATACACACATGGTACATTGTAGATCATCTGGTATTCTACCAACCTCAGTGTGAAGGCAATTGGCAGCGTTCACTGCTGGTGTAGGTTATTGTGCTTGTGCAGCCTCATACATTTCATGTAGGCATTCTCTTGATGGATCGATTATCAGGAAGCTGTTTCGGCTCACAGGAGGAACTTTTCTGATTAGTCACTTTCAACAAAGATGCATTTACTGGATAGCAATAAAAAAATGGAATAGTAGAACTTATTTGAATTCCCAACAGCTTTAAAGTACATTTTACTCTTATACCTGATTGATTTTATGGATTACCTCCAGGATGTACTCATTGAGCAACTTAATAAAACAAAATTGTTTAAATTATATGTATTATGAGGGACCCAACAAGTCAGCATTCATGATTGCAAATGATGTAGTTTAAGTTTTTATAGAATTTCTGGATTAGGTTTTTAATGCAATTTATATAAAAAATCCATTCATTTCATATGAAAATCTGGATGTACAACAACTTAAATTCACTCGCCAGAGCATACAAATTATAATCTCAATTTTATATTATTTATATTTTTAAGACTTTTATGATTGGCAGGGCTGGAGAAATCACTAACTTACGTGTTGTTGTTGTATTGGCTAAGTCATAAGGGCACTGAGCGATTTCGCTGATTAACCTTCAAGGCTGGTACATTCAAATAAATGGTTTCATAAAATTTGAGTGCAAGCTCTTTTATACATTTTACATACGATGCATTTTTATTGAGTGTAAAAAAGGTGTAAGAAACTGGCGAGAAAATGCAACACAAAATATTGAAGAAGAATATTTATTACGTTGTGGTATTACATAGATAAACAAATTTAAACCTGTATATTAGCAACTGTCCGTAAACTTACTCAGAATCTACACAAGGTTTGCAAATATCGAATACAACGAGATTGAATACAAACAAAACTATTTTAACCCTCCTTAGTTCACCTCGACATAGCCTTATACATACGGTTGGCACATAAATAAATAAATACTACAGCTACAAATCAACGCGAATGTACTCGAATCCACTAAACCTACGTAGGTTCGTAAACGTATAAGTACGGTTAGCTCACTAGCCTTTTCCTATGCTACGTCTGACTGAAAGGCTACGCTACAGGTCGCACGAGACTTCTTATTCAAATCAATCGAAAAATATAATGCAAGTGAAGAGACAGCAAGGCACAAGCGGGCCTGATGCACTTCCCTCACAGATATGGCTCTCAATGTGATCCCAGCTTAACATTAATTGAGCAGTAAGACACAACAACAATAGACGAAACAGCGACTTAACCTAGGGGTCAAGCATCTCATACACAATCAGCTGTGGTACATCAGGTTGGCACGACTCATAAACATCAAGGTTGCCAACTTGAAACATGAACAAAGATAGCGTTGATTGTAAAAACTTGAGGTGCTTAACGGATTGGATCTATACAGTAAATATAGTTCGACAGTGAATACACAATAACTCCGAAGTATGCCTACTGTAAACAAAGATTTTACTTTTCCATCTTGTAAAAAAGGCAGTGTTATCTGGTGAAATGAAAAATTAGTGTTTGTCAGTTTTATCCTGATTGTAAAATGTAATACAGTAGCATACATATAGATAACTTATAGTTGAGAAACCTAAGTCAATAAAGTAGTAAAGTCAGTCTAGTAAATATACAACGACAACACGGTTGTTTTTTGCTGATAAGTAATTATTTTCGATTAACATACTTATTAAACACTTAGCTTTTACAAGTAAAACGTACAATATTTTCCTCATTTCACCTCTAGGATTTACAACATATTGTTGGCACAACTGCTGGATACATCAAACAGCAGAACGTCAGGGATACCAACATTAACATTAACACAAGGGTATAAGCGATGCTTACAGCTGATTGTGATTACAAAACATTGCATTGAAACATAACAGTGTAGTTTTGTCGCCAGACACAGACGTTTTGTAACAGGAATACTTAGTGAAATTCATTGTTTGTAAGGAAGAAAGTCGGGATGATGGATGACTGGAAAGAGCAAAAATTAGACTTAAATCGAATAAGTCTATCTGAGTTTGTAAACTAAATCAAGTCTGAATGTAGAGGAAAGAATATTACTGAAAACATTTACACAACATTAGGGATCCTTCAAGTTTACTATGCTTACATGTGGGCCCCTAAACTGAATGTAACAGTACATTTTCTATAATATAATTTATTTAACTTCATACACATTTAATTTCAAAACTAGATTGTGTATTTACAATGCTTTCTAAATTGCAATAAATTTCCACTACAACAGACACATATGTTTTCATAAAAAATTATATGCTAGGCCTACCTAATATACATATTAACAATTTTCAGAATTATTTAGAGCTACATGAGTAAAATAACCGCTCAACTGACCTACTATATTTACTTCAATTTTAAAATATATTTCCTCTATATATTATCTTATAACATTATTATACATAAATAACTATATTTCGATAATTATAGAAATAATATTTATTGGACGAATGATACAACGTGAATAACCATATGATGCTAAGAAAACTAATGAATTGAATAGTAGCCTACGTGTAGGTTGAAATTCATGGTTAGGCATAAAATGATGCTTTGAATAATTGTAAAAAACCCATAGTTGCAGCCTTGGTTGTGCCTTTTTATAACAATAAGCATTGGACTTATTTAACAATGTTAAGTCCATGCATTCCAAAATACTAAATTAATTTTTTCTAACAAGATTCTTTAAATTGTTTATACCTTTGTATGTATTACAGTACATATATTTTGAGCTTAAATAACCACCAAGTCATAAACCAAATTCATGGAATAACATTGCACTATAATATACTACTTACAATCAATTATAAATAAACTACGCTAACGGAATTTAACCTTTGGCACACACTTATTCAACTAACTCCATAAAACATAAAAAACAAAATCGATAAAACATAAATGCCATTCTTGGTCCCTTGAACATCTATCTTATTGGAAATCAAGAACACATATTGAACAAATTTCCTATGCTTTGGGACAATTATCTAGCTTACAAGAGATACACAAATTAAATAAAATACCCCGAAATCATAACATAAACATAGACACCATTTGACATAGGTTATGGCATTTCATTTTAACTACTTAATTTGATTATCAAATTAATCACAAATTAATTGATTAACTAATATAATTAATAATATAATTCATAATATAATCTTAATATAATTAATTAATTAATTATATTAGCACAGTGTGAACAGAAACTATACAATCATACCTAGCGTCTCTTTTAATTTGTCAAATCGCGACAGAAGATTAATATTTGGGGTTTGAAAGGTTACAATGGACTAAAGCTAGACCAAATAGTAAATAGTGACGGTAAAAATAAGTTCAATTTTATTATCGCAAAAGTTGGCATATATTATTATTGTAAGAATATTACTCCGTTTTTAGACATTTAAATTACCGATAAAATACAAGTAATGATTTTTAAAGCTTACACAATATATACAAGTAATATTAAAATGATTAAATGAAGCTAGATTTTTCCATGGGCACATTTTTTTAAGATTACAAGTCGATCTTGGGTAGAGAGAAATGTTACATATTTTAAGCTGAATAAGTGATAACAACCGTTAATTGATGGCGATCATTTAGGCGAAGGGCATATATTTATACGTCATGCCGAATACTGACAAACAGTCTTAAGTTCACATTTTCCCTATATTAATATATACAAGATGTATAAATGCACAGCAGACTTAAACAACTTAATATAACTACAACTAAGTAAAATTCACTAGACAGGAAACATAAATGAATATCAATGGGACTAGAAGAACTCTGCGATGGTGAGCACTACCTATTGACTCCATAGCCAGTCCATGTCTGAGGGGAGGAATCAGTTTGGTGGGGGTGAGAGGTCCTGGGGAGGGTGTTGACCATCTCCCAGAGTCCGGGATAGTAGATTGGCGAGAGCAAGCTGAACAGGAAGTCGTCCAGTTGGTTCTTCCTCATCATGCTGAGGACGCGAGGCTCAGAAGCGCCTAGGGATCCTACGTCGGTGTGGGTCAGATTGGCGCGACTCATCAAGGTGCCTGTCACGTGGACATCGTCTATCCAGAAGTACTCACTGCGCTGAGCCTCCCGGTACAGCCTGAAGACGGCGTCCGGCGAGTAGAGGATGGCCCATCCCGTGCAATAGTCAGGATACCAACGGTTCTTGTACTCCCGGTGGCTCACCCGCCACTTGGACCTGTAGGATCTCTTGACGATGGACCCGGAGAGGACCTCGCACAGCACCAGTCTACGAGCGCCTAGAGCAGACAACTCTCGGGTAAGGAACTCCTCTAGGAACGGCGTGTTGACGAACACGTCGTCGTCAGTCTTCAGCACGTACTTGGCGTCCGGACAATGGTACGTCGCCCACTTCAGTCCCAACACGTGTTTGTACGTAAGATTTCTATAAGAGTCTTTAAAACTACCCTGAACTAAATCGTGGTGTTCGTCGTTTTCGCGCTCTAGAGCGGTTTGTGTGTCAACGGAATCTGTCTCTCCAACGAGAAAAACTAGGTGTGCGGATTGACCCCACGTGCTCCGGATGGATCTTCGGTTCTCCCAGTTGGAGGGCGCGGAGTGGATGATCACGACGAACAGCGGTGGGGAGGAGGAGTTGCAGACGGGGTCATTCATGTGGAATGTGAAGTTGTGCAAGTCAATGAGGAAGTGACGATCATGAGAGCCTAGCAGGGAGAGATCGTAGGGCTCTGTGACTCTGCTGACGTTGCTAGGGTCCAGCAGCAGGTAGTTGGCTGATACCGGAGACTCCAGCACACAGTATGGAGGCCCTGGACAACCGCCGGACATCCGCCAGACAGACACACAGACGAAGGTCGCCGTCAGCACCACGGCCAACAGAGGGTAGGTCCGCCGCTCCAGCAACATCATGCTGTTACCGCATCTCCCTGCAACATAACAACACTGTAAAGAGTAACAACAGATGTGGAAAGTATTGATTAAACAAATATGTGTATTATTATACTATAGTGTTCACGGCGAAATAGTGAACATCTTGGGCGATTGCGGAGACATCTTCCTAGTTTGCAGTGACATAATCTTTATCTCCCACGGTCTCGACAAATAATGGATATTTCCTGTGGTTTTAGAGAAATTAAGATTTTTTTACGGTTCCTTCATCTTTATCTCCTGCGATCGTGGCAAAATCGAGTTTTTCAACGAATCTTTGAAGAAGCTTCTGGTGATCGCGGGAATAAAATCTTGGTTCAAAAATCGCGCCCCACTGATATATGATCTTTTCCTTTAGCTTCCAAGAAAAAAAAACATTTTTCTGTTGAACCATGTCCTTCAGGAAATTATTCTCTGAATGAATATGCCGGGTTTTGGGTGCGGAACTCATCACACTTAAGTCCTGAAGACAAATTTAATTTTTTTCCCTCACACGTGCTACTAGGAAAAATATATTTCATAGTTATAATAGTATAAGTGTTCATAAATAGTAATGACACTAAAAACTAAAAGATTGTTTTTCCTATAACACATTATGAGTACAGTATCTTTAAAATGGTGTTTATTAAACAATTTTAATATTCAGTTTGACAAATTACTCAATTATAAGCCTATAATTTAATGACAGATATCAAATATCTTAATACAGATGGATCACAATTTGTCAAAACCCAATTAAAAGTTTGAGTTTTGATAAGTAGCTTTATCCTGAGTATACCCGAGCATTACTCCAATGAAACCCAGCCAAGTACGGGGTCTGCATATTCATCAGTTAGAGTGATATATGATAGGTGCACGGCATGTTTTCGTGTTAGTCTAAAGAGTCAGACACATTCAACAGTATCGCTATCCATCTTACCCACACACGGCCCTGCTCAATACAGCAGACTCGGTTATCCGACCGGCCACGGTAAGGTCGGATAATCGGGAAAGTAGAAATTACGGAAAATAAAATGAACCAAAGTAAACATTTTAAGTAAATATATCCCAACGTTAAAGTTTTTAAGAATAGGTTATATTTGTAAAAATATTACATAATTAGCACCTGACTAAAAAATAAAATAAATAAAAGCTAGGGCGAAACACCGTTTTATTGGGTTTTAATTAAAACACAGACATCCTGATACAGTAGTCAAATGGACTTTACAAGCCTAACACTATAACGGTAATTAAAGTGGGTTTCTAAAAAAAAGGAATTTTAAGGTCAACTTTTATTACTACTGTATATTATATAAAATCGAATGTATAGGTATTCTGAGCATAAGGTGAGTACTATAAGCACTATGTTGCTCAGAATATTAAAATATGAACTTTATTTGCGTTTAATAGAATTCATACTACAAATACACTGTTTGGAGGACCACAAAAAACCCAAATTACACTTAACGCGTTAAAAGAATACAATACCTTATCTAAGTCAACAATTTTAGAAGCAAATGTTATCTATAGAACTAAAAACTCTTCAGTTTCGAAAACAATTAACTGTGGTAATTCCAAGGTAAAACGGATTACCCAGCTTATCAAATCAATTTAAATTAACCTCTAATCAATGATATCGTACTATTGGAGGCTAAGTACTTGACACTTGAGATATTTCATCACTTCTTATCAAAGGAGTAAAACTGATAGCTATGAATCCCAAACAGATCGATTATACTATATAGGCTTAACCTTCTTTGATAAGATTTAGTCTGGAAATTTGAGGAGAGTATTTAAATAAAAAATGCAAACCCACTCAAATGGATTGAATGACATGTCTGTTGAGGAACGTATAGAATTTCTAGCGTCACCCCAAGACTACGGTAATGACAGTTTGGTCGATACCTCATTTATAACCCGTCGAACAAATTTGTATTTGAGGAATGAAATATCAACAGCATAGTAGTAGGTTAAAATAGGTAACTTAGAACAAGACCTGTGATGAAAGTAGGAATACAAATAATTCACAGGTTTAAATACTTTACACTTGAGGACGCGATCAATTGTGGTATCATCACACAGTAATGTTACAAGTTCCCTCATAGCTGTTAATTAATAACTTTACTTGTCCCATTGATTAAATAGTCAAAAAGCTTGTATCCTAGTCACAAAATCAATTTAGTTCTACGAATTCATTGTCTATTAATAATACAATGGTGATTCCTGTATTTTCATTTTCTTAGGAAAATACAAAGAACCACACTTGGATTAAATAGCTTTGAGGCCACTGCTAGCAGGACTAAGCGCTACAAAACGATTGCAAATGCTACGACACGTCGTGAGTAGATTTCGTCTCCAAATTAAAAAAAAAGTGTAAAAAACCAAGGACACCATTTTACTGATTAGACTATTTAAACAAATTATTATTTATAAGGTGAAACGTTAATTTGCACTTATGACTAGGGATTTATATTGAAACAAATAACCTTGTTTCTAAATAAATTATTGGTGATTTTTCAAAATCGTAACGTTTCACTGCCTCACCCTGTACTTGGGCCACACATATTCAAGTTTGGTTTACATTCCCAACCAAAGTTGTCGAAACATTGATACATGCATTCTATTGGAACGTTAAATTACGAATTCCTTGCGTTCTCCTCAATACAAAATCTCAACGCGTTTCTAACATAAGACAATTCTTTTTTAATTTAAATGTCATTCATTTTCTTTTAAGTTTTTAAATATGAGAATACAACAAGATATTGGAATTAATTTTTGGGGGTTGGTAGTTTTAGATAACGGACTTGGCATTGTTTATTTGTATTTTAAAAACTCACCTAAAAAGTGTTTTCTTCGTAGATATCGACACAGTAATTTTGCATAACTGAAATAGAGAAATTCTATTACCATAGGAAAATTTTTAGCAATATAAAGCAAACAGACACTATTTTATATAATATAAACAAGATATTCTTATTTCATAACACTTCAATCGTCAGAGCGACGATTAACAAAGGTTACTCCCGCACGAAAATGTGTTATATAAAAATCAATTATTTTTCTATGAAGGAGTGTGATCTTATTTCGTGATGGATTTTGAAATCTATCTGATTTGGATATCGAGTATTGTCCTGATCCTATTCTGCAACGGTATCATTTCTCGCATTCGGGTCTAAATCCATTTTAATTTAATTTTTATAATAACATACCATGTAAAACACCATGTAAAATTGGCTAATGCATTGTGTTTTGTCAATATGGCTAAATCAATGAGATACACTAATGTATTATACAGGGTGAGTTTTAATTGTCCCCCCCCCAACTTTTTTCTACATTTTTTCAAATATCAATCCCAGACCACTTCCAAACATTGTTGGGTAGTAAGTACTTCATTTTGACAAGGTGGTCATTTCCGGCCGCCATCTTGGATCCGCCATATTGATGCAAAATTTTTTTTTCAAATGTAAAGGTGGGGTTGTGACCCATTATTTCGAACTAAATTTTTACCCTGATTACAATGCCGCAAACTGTTTTTAAAAATCTTGATTCATTCTAAAGTTATGAGGGTTTTTAAAACTTTATTTTTAGCCCATTTTAACATTGTGCATTTACAAACTAAGACCATAATCTCAAAATAGTGCTAGATAAAGATAAGTATCCACTACCAGTAATTGTCGACCTATTTTCACTTGGTTATGACTGATGTATATTTTTCGGCCGCCATCTTGGATCCGCCATTTTGAAATGTGATAAATTATTTTAAATATGAAGGGGGTGTTGTGACCCATCATTTCGAACTACTTTTTTAAGCTGAACTTAATTCCATAATCCGTTTTTCATTTCCATTTTTTGATTTTTAAATTTTGACATTTTTTACTAAAAAATTGCAATATTTCATAAATAAAACTTGATAACAAAAAACGGATCGCGGCATTGAGTTAAGCTTAAAAAAGTAGTTCGATATGATGGGTCACAACACCCCCTTCATATTTAAAATAATTTATCACATTTCAAAATGGCGGATCCAAGATGGCGGCCGAAAAAATACATCAGTCATAACCAAGTGAAAATAGGTCGACAATTACTGGTAGTGGATACTTATCTTTATCTAGCACTATTTTGAGATTATGGTCTTAGTTTGTAAATGCACAATGTTAAAATGGGCTAAAAATAAAGTTTTAAAAAGCCCTCATAACTTTAGAATGAATCAAGATTTTTTAAAACAGTTTGCGGCATTGTAATCAGGGTAAAAATCTAGTTCGAAATAATGGGTCACAACCCCACCTTTACATTTAAAAAAAAAATTTTGTATCCAATATGGCGGATCCAAGATGGCGGCCGGAAATGACCACCTTGTCAAAATGAAGTACTTACTACTCAACAATGTTTGGAAGGGGTCTGGGATTGATATTTGAAAAAATGTAGAAAAAAGTTGTGGGGGGGGGGACAATTAAAACTCACCCTGTATAATTAAAATAACTCAAATGAGGGATAATTTGTGTTTTGTTAGTTTTTTGACAAGAATAAATACTGCAGTCAACGTAGAAAGAATAAGGGACAGAGGCCAGAATTAAGTTTTCTTGGAGAAGGCCCTTGCGTGGTCCACTTAGGGTGGGGGGAGGGGTTGCGGAGGTTTTTGTGGATACAGTACCAGACCTCTCTCTCCACATTATTAAGATTCCACACCACAGCTCTGGTGTTGAGTTGCGAAAACGTTTAGTCCTTTAACATGAGCTGTCCTCGACTGAGATTATGTTTGTCATGGCAAACTGTCAAATCCACGTTTTTGGCAGCTAAATGTTTTAATATGTTGATAAAATAGCAAAATTATTCTGAGATTCATTTTGATTATTACACACAAAACAAGATTTTTGAAAATTCAAATTACAATCAATGTATATTACACTATTGTCTTTATTAACGAAATTCCAGTAAAGAAAATTTATTGATTGATTCAAAAGATTCTTGGACGAATATTCAGTTTCCAGAACATAGGACAATAATCTTCAAGTGGAAATGATAATGTCTTAACGCCCATGTCGTTAAATGCCGTTAGGAGATGTGTCGATAAGATTATGTATCAAGTCAGTTTAACATGTTATAAACCCGTTATATCAGCAGTTTTATCTCCTCTGTATAGTGTATGATTTGAAATCCTAATGTTAAGTAAGTGTTATACCAGATCAAGAATTAAGAACAATTTTGAATGTTTTTTTTCACAATTCACGATTTTCAGAAACCTAAAGGTACGTCCACACCGAACGCGCAGAGCTGCGCCGCGCTGCGCCGCGCTGTGCAAAGCATATTGCGCTGCGCGAAACTGCGCTAAACTGGGCGGAACAGAGCGCCATGTTCATAGTTGCGCGGCTGTGATCCGTGTTGCGCGGGCTACACGCGGGCTATTTCAACGATGTCATGTCAGTATTGCGGCTATTTCCTCCATGTGTAAACATATAAGATATTTAGTTGTTATTTACTATTTCACAAAAAATGGCCGCCTATGAATTATGTCATCCTGGGCTATAGGCAAATCCCATTATGTCTGCAAGAATCAACATTTTTAATATGGTAGTTATTGTCTTTTGGGTCCCATAACTCCGTTCGAACTCGATATGCATTCACCAGAGTCTCGATGCACTCACGACTCCATTCAAAAGCCATTTTGATCATACACAGGTAGTGACAGTTCGAGCCGAAACGACGCGCAGCAACAACTGACCAAATGCCCGTCCACACTGAGCGCGCAAAGGCGAACAAACTTCAAAGATGTTCGTCAAAATACCGCCATCAGTCGGATCGTGTTCGCGGATGTTCTCGAGTGCGCGTAGCTGCGCGGTTCGCCGTCCACACCAAGTGCGCCGCTCGGCGCGCACATGTTTTGCGCAGCGCGGCGCAGCTCTGCGCGTTCGGTGTGGACGTACCTTTAGAGAAATGGGGAAAGTTGGGGCTTACTGAAAAAGAGAATTTAAAGACTGGACTGCTAGAAAAGTTCTTTTAAGTTTTATATACTGCGAGAGTTTAGCTTACTTATATGATGCTTTTGTTTATACAGTAACAAGTTGATCTTTCAGTTTGTATTTTTTAAAGACTTTGTGCAATCCGCGAGAAATCCGTGATTGCCAGCAGAACACACTATCGTAGGCACAATCATCACGACAATATAATAATACGATTAAATCTATCATTATTTTATTCTAAAATGGGACAATTTTAGCATTGCAATGGTATTTATATTATTCTCCATTTGTCAAATTATATCATATACACAAACAGTTTAAAGCCTAAAATTTACACGAGGCATTGTTATCGAAGGTAAATTTATAGTTGTAAGAGGGAAACATATTTAACAACCTGATAAACAATCTATTCTAAATCTGGTATCAACTTAAACATTAAGAATATCTAGCACTATCACAGCCAAAGATTATACACGAAAAGCATACCTCTGCAAGGGAAACATCCAGACAACTTACGATACAGCAGACGGGAGAATTGTGGGCAAATACCGAGACAGAAATAAGAGGCAATCAATTAAAGTGGTCTAGCATCGATTAGGCCAATAGAAGAATGGTCGATGGTTAAATAATGAGGTAGAACTCTATGGCCAAGTCAATAAACGGTCACAAGCGATCAGCTGTTAAACTGTCCAGGCGGTGAAATTGGCGCCAAACTGGGACATAATTGCGCGAAACTCGTTATGTTTTGTAATGACTGTCCGGGCGGAAATCTACTTTGCACATTACAATACGATGGGAATTGAAGAAACGATTTGTGTGAATGGAAGCGTTTTGTCTGATTAATGTTTTGTGATGGTTTTAACGTGAGCATTATCATGTTAGATGAACTATACAATTGACAAGAAGCCACAACTGTAAACAATTAGTCACGCATATTGTTCATAAGAAATTAAATGGTGGGACACATTCCTTTGTGTTTATTTATAATGCATTTGACTTTGGAACGATGTTCATTTTATATCTTTAATTTCACTAAGCATTCATATTCAGCTTGAAATAATACATAAAGTACGTCGTTGTAACTGCTCCAAAGTTTAAATGTAATTTGATACGTGGTGAATTGTAAGTACAAGGTGTTATCGTAATATGTGACCAGAACAAAAACAATAAGATTAACTAGCTGTTACCCACGGGCCGCACCCCGTTTGACTTCATAAGTATTAATAAAACTATTGATTAGTAAAGTTAAGCTGAAATGAACAAAACACAGTAATACAAACAAATAATCACACCTGATTTTGATAAGGTAATACGTTTTTACATGAGGTATATGGAAAGTTCCCTTTAAAAAGGAATTACGAAAGGGCAATTTATGAAATAATGGATAGTTTTGCGCAAGGTTTCTTGTCACGGCGAACATTTTAAGTATATGGTTCATGGGGGTGTGACTTTTAGTTTTCTCAAAAGTTCATGGGTACCGGTACTTTGGAATTTATATATGGATGTGTGACACTTTTTTTAAAAACAATGATGAATAAAATCAACAAGAGTCAGTAAAAAAGGCTCGACACTATTTAAGTCACATGAATAACAACTAACATCTGTATTCAATCACAAAGAAGTGACGTCATCAGTCTGCAATGAGTATGATCAACTGAGCAAACATCTACTTGAAAGTGAGAACACTAATCAGAAGTTATTGTTGAACGTGAATTATTGGCTCATATGGAAACATGTTTGCTAAACACGTAGTTTTATTTATTCTTGTTACAAGTAGACAATCGTGGTTAGGTGAAAAGTAAATGTTAACTTAAATCTGAATCTAATCAATTAAAAACAGCCATACCTTAACGTGACAACAAATGTTTTTTTTTCTGCTCACCGATTGGATGCAACCTTTGGCTATCAATACAACCTTCTTATAAAT